GATGGACTGTGAGCATTAATTACCAGAATGCAGCAGCATTTTAGGCTAGTGAGCATGGTAGCACTTGGCACAGAGGCCACACTGGGATTGCATATCTTAAACATTAGTGACATGGTATTTATCTATCTGTCTATCTATCTATCTATCTATCTATCTATTTGAAACAGGGTCTCTCTCTATGTAGTCCTGTCTGCCTTGGAACTTGCTATGTTCCAAGATCCGGCTGGCCTTGAACTCATAGAGATCCACCTAACTCTGCCTCCTAAGTGCTGGGATTAAAGGTATGTGCCACCACAACCAGCTACTTCTAGTTTTTAATTTTTTCACATAATGTACTTTGATCATATTATTCCCTTCTTCCACATAATCTACATTGTAATTAGGTGGGGGTGTGTACAAAAAAAAAGAAGAAGAAGAGGTGTGTATGCCACGGCACACGTGTGGAGGTCAGAAGACAGCTTGGAGGAATTACTTCTCTCCTTCCACCATGTGAGTCCCAAGGACAGAACTCTGTCATCAGGCCCGGGGTAGGGGGGGCAGGGAGGCAAGTGCTCTTTGACCCCAGAGTCATCTCACAGCATCTTCGCTGTGACCATGGTCATAGATTTGTTCTGAGACAGGGTATCATGTAGTTCAGGCTGTTTTCAAATTCGCTCTGTGGCCCAGGATACCCTTGAATTCCTGGTCCTTACGCTTCCACCTTCCAAATTTGGGGATCCCAGGTGTGCAGCACCTCCCCAGCTCTGTCTCATCATTTGTAAATGCTTTGAATACACCTCCATCATTTGCAGGCACCTGTGCTGGCAGATCCGGGTGGTTCCCAAATTTCCAGTCACACACTGAGTTTAACAACACAGTCTTCCATGGTTTTCATTGCTGTCCCGAGGAACCAGTGGGAAAGAAGCTGAAACAACGAATGTTCTCCATGGCCCGGTTCCTCTGAATGAGTGTACATGTACATACGTATACATGTGTGTACATGTGTGTACAGGTGGAGACCAGAGATCAAGGCCAGGAGAGCTTCCTCCAGTTATTCTCCACCTTATTCTTTGAGTCAGTTTCTCTCACTGGTCCTGAAGCTCACATATTGGTCAGAGTTGGTGGCAGTAAGCCAGCAATCCTCCTGCTCCTGCCTATGGGGTGCAGGGATTACAGGTGTGCACCACAGCACCCAGCATTTACATGGTGCCGGGGATCGAACTTAGTTCTTCATGCTTCTGCAGCAGGTACTTTCTGATTAAGCCACCCTTCCCTCTCCATGGCCCCTCTTTTAAAAGCTGTATCACTTTTCTGTTCTTGTGGTGCCTGAACCTCCTGGTGCCCTCAGCTCTGACTTTAGCCCTGGTTGGATGTGTATTGTTTTGTTCCTGCTCTTAGATGTCCATTGTGTACATACCTATGTGTGTGCATGTGTGCACGTGCGTGGTTTTTTTCCTCTGTGTGTGCTTTGTCTGTTTATTTTATTTTGTTTGTTTCTACTCTAGGTCTTTAAATGTTTGCCCAGGTTGACCACAAACTCATAATCCTTTTCCTACCTCAGCCTCCTAAGTGTTTGCCTGGCTTAATTGCTCCTTTCCACCTTGAACCACTTAGGATTGTTGTAGTTAAATATCTGTAAGATTCTCTCTCTTCTCTCTCTCCCCCCTCTCTTTCTTTCCTTTTCCTTCCCTCCCTCCTTCCCTTCTTTGGTATGCAAATTTTGAGTGTGCAGAATTTGATGGGTAGAGAGAAAGAGAATGAGTTTGTTCGCATGGTATAAAGTGCTAAACTACAAGCATCCCCCTGTGTTCACCACTCAGTTCAAACGATAAACAGCTAATGCTAAGCACCTGTCTCCTTTGCAGATCGCATTCCCACAGAGAACTGGAAGGGACAGGAAGGGTCCCTTGGGGACAGTGGAGACAGCAAACCAGATTCCATCTTGCATTTTAGACCAACTTGCTCACGCTTTTCTCAACTCTGAAATAGAAGGTTGTCCTGGAGATCACCCTGGTCCTGCACGGCACCAAGGGAGCACCCTGAGCACAGGAGTCCTTCTCAGCACACAGGGTTTCAGAACAGGGACTGTGCAGCTTTGGTTCTTACTCGGCCCTGGGATTCCACACAAGGTATGACCCAGACCTCAGTTTCCAAGAGTAGGCAGTAAATAGGCAGATGAACTCTCAAACTCTCCAGCTCCACCGTGTTGTGGGCTATCATTTTAACTAGGCAAAGATGTGTTGCATTCGTTTATGCTGCATTTGTTTAATTATGAAAAGACATGTTGCATTTGTTTCTCCCTGCCTGCTTAAGGCACCTGATTGGTCTACTAAAAAGCTGAATGGCCAATAACTAGGCAGGAGAGGGAGAGGTGGGGCTGGTGGGCAGAGAGAATAAATAGTGGGAGAGAAAAGAAGAAGAGAACGGGGAAGAAAAAGGGGAAGATGTCCAGGACCAGTCAGACAGATAGACAGACAGACAGAAGGAAAGAAAGATAAAAAGCCTTAGGCAAAGCATAGATGGAGAGAAGCAGGTTAAATTATAAGACCTAGCAAGAGGGGCTGGAGAGATGGCTCAGCGGTTAAGAGCATTGCCTGCTTTTCCAAAGGTCCTGAGTTCAATTCCCAGCAACCACATGGTGGCTCACAACCATCTGTAATGGGGTCTTGTGCCCTCTTCTGGCCTGCAGTCATACACACAGACAGAATATTGTATATATAATAAATAAATAAATAAATAAATATTAAAAAAGAAAGACCTAGCAAGAAATGATCATAGGATAAAGCTGAGCATTCATAGCTAATATTAAGTCTCTGTGCCATGATTTGGGAGCTGGTTGGTGGCCTAAGAGGAAAAAACCTGATAGCCACGGTGGCGCACGCCTTTAATCCCCAGCACTCAGGAGGCAGAGGCAGGCAACTCTCTGTGAGTCTGGGGCCAGACTGGTCTACAAGAGCTAGTTCCAGGATAGGCTCCAAAGCTACAGAGAAACCCAGTCTCATAAAAAAAAAAAAAAAGAAAGAAAAGAAAAGAAAAGAAAAGAAAAAAAACAAACTTGCTACACCACCCGTTACTGGTTCTAATTTACTATTATAATTAATGCTGTTGTTTTGAGGCAGGGTCTCACAGAGCCCAGGCTAGCCTCCAACTGAATGTGTAGATAAGAGTAACTAGGTGGGGCAGTGGTGGCACGTGCCTTTAATACCAGCACTCACAGGAGGCAGAGGCAGAAGGACCTTTGTGAGTTCAAGGCCAGATAAGAGCTAGTTCCAGGACAGTTCCAGGACAGGTAGAAACCCTTTCTTGAAAAACCAAAAAATAAAAAAAAATTTTAAAAAAGGGGAAAAAAAGAAGAAGAGAAAAGAAAAAGGAAAAAAGAAAACCATTAACCTTGAACTTTTGCCGTTCGGGCCTCACCCCCGTAGTGCTGACAGGCAGGGTAGGCACGCACAGGCACACCCAGTTTTCCCATTCTGCTAATCATTAAACCAAGGAAAACGAGTTGTAACAAGCAAGAATTGCATCCAGGGGCTCTAAATAGGTCCCTGAGCTCAAGGGTAGAAAGAGATCCTGTGACTGGCTATGGCTGGGCTTAATGACCTGGTAAGTGATAATGGCAATTTTGTTACATTGTTGTGTTTGAATATTTGATACAATCTGACTCTGGAGCCCAGGTTGGACTCCAACCTGAGGTGCTTCATCCTCTTCTCAGATGTGGGGATCACCAGCATGCACTGCCATTCCTGGCTTAATGATGGCATTTCAAGCATGTTTTCCGGGGATCCTGTGCTAAGAGCTGCACACAGATTCCTTACTTAAGTCTGAAAACAATCCCCTAAGCCTCACAGATTGTCTTTTTATGGCCATACTGTGCATCCTGAGGCTTGGCGAGGCCCTGTGGTAGATTACACAGCCCCTGCCTTTTCCACTGTTCACCCTCTGCTCCAAACCAGCAGGCCCTAAACACTGTGCACTCAAATCACAGAGGGTCTTGTGGAAATGCACACTGCTGGAGTCAGACCTGAGAGACGGCATCCTAGCCCATTTTAGAAAGCTCCCAGGACTGGCTTCGCTAGCACCCTCTGAACAGTGCCGCTAACCGACTGTCCCTTCAGAGCTGACCTGGGAAGGGACTCAGGTCTGCAGAGTCCCTGGCTTCCGCAAATATAAACTGTAGGGCTATTTTTACTCCTTCCCAGGAAAAGAAAAGCCAGGGCCCCGCACGCTCAGCAAACACTGCTGTTTGTGGGTCAGACACACCAAAAGGGAAAGGCTTCCTGTTGACAGGAAGAAGCTTCTAGTCTCTGCCTGTGGCCACGTTTGCTTTTTCCACACAGAGGCTGAAATCCCTGCTCTGTGTTTCTTCTCCCGGCTGAGGATGCAGAAGCATCGTTCTGACCCACGCTTGCTACCCCACCCACGCCTGCATGGCAGCCAACAAACCCCAGCCATAGCAAAGCATCTATTTAGGCTCCCGCCTCAAGTTGGTGCTTTTGCCTCTTAGTTATGAGCAAGAAAGCTGCAAGAGAATTTTCATAGAGGATATTACCCAGAAGGCCATTCCAGCCTTGGATAAGTGCATGCAGAAACCAAAGGGCAGTGCAAACATGCAGGCGTCGGTGCCTCGGTGGTCTGGCCTTCCTGGTCCACCCACTCCTGGTCCTGTCGTGGTCCCTGTGTCACTCTTGTACTCCCCAATTCCAGGGAAGTTGAAAGCTTACTAAGAATGTGGCCACGGTTTCATTCCGTCCTCAGGGGGTCGCAGAGAAGCCAGGCCAACTGCTCTTTCTCTTTTATGCAACTATGATACGTTATTACAAATCCCTGCCTCGGTCCTCAGTGTCCTTTGCTAGAAGGTGCATCTGTGTGGAGAAGGATCAGGAAAGGAAACACAACACTGCCCCAAGCCAGTGCTTGTGCTTCTGCAATGGTCGCTGCTGTTTTGAGCTGAAGGGTGGGGCACCGTGGGATGAAACAGGATGTGGTCTACCCGGAGTGACAGCGAACTGAAACAGCCTGGTAGAAGAGGTCTGAATTAGTTTGTCTTCTTCTTATTGGGGCAAAATAGCCCCCCAAAAGCAACCTTGGTACCTCAGGCTCACAGTTCGAAGGCACGCTTAATCAGGACAGGAAATCGCAGCAGTTGGAGTGAGAGGTGGCCGGTCACGTGGCATCCGCCGTCAGGAAGAGAGAGAGAGATGGATGCTGGTGCTCAGCTCGCTTTCTCTTCTTTATTCAGCCTAGGACTCCAGCCCCTGGAATGTGCTGCCCACATTTAGCGTGAGCCGTTCTGTGAACTCCCGGACTCGCACGGGGGCTTGTCTGCTAGGCGGCTCTAGAGTCGGTCAAGCTGGCAATCGCTATTAACCATTACAGTAGAGTACGGGAATCAGGCTTGTCACGGGGCAACACCTCTCACACCTCATGTGGGATCCGGAGGTAAGACTGAAGCTGGGCTTGTTGCAAGTGCCTTTCCAAGGCCTGGCAATGGCATGCTCCTGAGGACATGGTTGGTTTACTATTGCTGACGAGTTTGACTCTGTGTTAAGTCTTGTATTTTTCGTTCTTTCTACTAGGCTATGACACCTTCAAGTCATTGACAATATTCCCTACTTTCCACGTAAGCCTTTAGGCTTGAAAAGGCCAATCTACGCCTGTAGAGCCAACTTCATGGGAGTGAAACGCCCACCACCAAACTGCTTTGAAGAACCCCATGGTTGCTGTCATGTTCTGCTGTCACCACCTTGAATTCCTCCTTAATACTTGAACAGGGGGACTTCTCTGAACTGGGCCGATGATGTTACAAGGGGTTCTGGACGCCAGGGATGAGCAGCGGGGTTCTAGGAGCTCACATTCTCTGCCTTCTAAGTCTGCCCCTGGCATCGGCAGAACCATTAGCAATTAGGATTGAGGCGGGGCTGGAGAGAGAATGCCTGCCTCACAGACATGTTCTTGAAGCTCTAGGTCCAGTCTCCAGTACTGGCAAGTGAAGTAGGAACTGAAGGGGCAGTGTAGTAGCTTGTACAGTGACCCTGCCTTGTGCGTGCGTGCTTGTGTATGTGTGTGTGTGTGTGTGTGTGTGTGTGTGTGTGTGTGTGATGGTGGGAAGCTGGGCTAATGATTGCATGCTTGGTCTGTAATTGCATTAGAGGGATGGCCCCCTCCCTACATGGAACATTTGACTGGATGGGGTAGGGATGCTGGGTTGTGGGGGCAAGTTCTGTATCATCAGCTTTAAGCAGTCAGGAAGTCAGTCCTGCCCTAGGAAGTTCAGCCATACTGGGGGTAGGAGGGACTTGGTCCCTCAAACGGAGGGAGGCGCTTAGGGCAGTGATTCTGTTCCTTTCAATTTGGTCCAAAGTTAATGATGTTCACTGTGTCCAAAAATGCTACTCTTGGCAGCGTGAGGGAGGGACCACAGAGGACATCACTGGGACAGCTAGGGAAACAGAATTATATCTAGGCCAGTTTCCTTAGATGTGATCGTGGACTCTGTGGAACATAGCACACACACCTGCGTGTGTATATGCATGAACCACAGCACACATGTGGAGGTCAAAGGACAACTTGGGGAAGTTGGTTCTCTCTTTACATCAGGTGGATCCCAGGAATCAAATTCATATTGTCAAGTGAATTTGGTGGCAAACACCTTTACCCGCTGAGCCATCTCACTGGCCCAAGAATACTCCTTGTTCCTGAAGACACAGAGTGAATGTATTACAGGTGATATTTTATGGTGTCTACAATGGACTCGCAGGTTGTTCCGGGAGCACGCGCACACTTGTGTAGGTGCGTACGGAGACGAGAGGACATCAGGTGTGCTGCTCAGGAGCTACCCACCGGGCTTTTGGGGACAGGATCTCTCACTGGTCTGGAGCTCATCCCTAAAGCTAGGCTAGCTGGCCTGTGAACTGCAGAGATCTGCCCATCTCTACCTCCTCAGTGCCGGGTTAAAAGTGCCCACCTCTGTGTCCAGCTTTTCAGTGGAGTTTCTGGGGGCTGAGCCCAGTTCTCACACCTGGGCAGCAAGCGCTTCATGGTCAGAGCTATTTCTCCAGCCTTTGGGTTTTTTTTTTTAAAAATGCATACTGATTTATTTAGAAAACTTTAGATTCCTAAACTATAGTCTATAAACTATATATAAACTATAATTTTCTGTCTGATGACTTTAAACATCTCTGGGGTTGGGGGGAAAGTGACATTCATTGGTGAAACTGGCTGACAGTGAGTTCATGCTTTCTACCGTTCTTCAGCTTGGAAACTTTCTACTGAAATGCCGGGGGAATACATCATCCTTCCCTATGATGCTGTCATTCCCAGAAGGCAAGACCCTGGCCATCTTAGTTTGGGTTCCCTTCCTTCAGCAGCAGGTCCGGAGGTAAAGATTCAAGCAGTCGTTCTTTGTCATTTCCTTTTCCTTTCCTTACTCTTTTCTCTTCCTTCCACAGGGTCTTGTGCAGCCTGTGCCAGCCTCAGACTCCCTGTGTAGCTGAAGCAGCCTTCAACTGTCTGTATCCTGCTTCTATTTCCTGGGTACCAGTGTCATAGGTGTGAGGCGCTGTGACTAGTTTGTTTGGTCCAAGGGGTTGAACCCGGGGCCTCCCCATTCATACCAGACAGGCGTTCTAGCAACTGTGCTTGTTTCTTTCGGGAGTGGCGATCTAGCAAGCATCAGGAGACAAGCAAGGCCAGGAACACCGTGAGGAAAGCAAGCATCAGCATGTTGTTACCATCTCTGAGAGTGAGAGGGTTGCCTACCCACAGCCACCCCAAGTCTGGAGTCAGGTGGAGCATCTCACTCATACTCTGAGACTGGGGAGGATTCTAGGTTGCCATAGTCGGGGGGCGGGGGAGAGGAAACGCCCCCAAAGCAATTGGCCTGACTCCCCAGTGGGAAGACATGGAACATGTCCCACCATCCCTCCAAGTAGTCACTCAGGTTATTGTACCTAGTACAAAGACAAGCCCTGGTAGGTGCTGGAAGACTGCACTGGGGAGAAAACAATAGCCTGTCCCCAAAGAAGAACAAGGGCAAGTTGGGTAAACAAACAAAACCCAATAAACAAGGACCAGCAACAGTGGGAGGAGCCCAGCACAGCCGGTTACCTAGGCAGCTGCTAGTAGCTCTCTGTGCTGGCCAGTGTTCTAGACAAAGGGCTATGCGAAGATGAAGCAAAGGAAACAAACACATGGAAAAATGAAGAAAAAAATATGAAACAAGAATTGCAGATCCAAGCTGGCGGTGGTGGCGCACGCCTTTAATGCCAGCAGCACTCAGTAGGCAGAGGCAGGCAGATCTCTTTGAGTTCAAGTGGTCTACAATGTGAGTTCCAGGACAGTCAGGGCTACACAAAGAAACCCTGTCTCAAAACCGCCCTCCCTCCTCCCGCAAAAAACCCCCCGTAGATCCAGCTAGTCAGTGACGGCACACTAGAGAGACAGAGGCAGATAGATCTCTGCGAGTTCGAGGTCAGCCTGATTTACAGGAGATCCTCAAGCCACTGTGGAGATCTTAAGGGTATGTACACTAACTCAGTTCTCTGCGGGTCTAGATGGGTGAATGAAGTGCTGCTAGGAGCAGTAGACAACTCTTCATGTTTAAGTGGAGGGCTCTCTTTTCCCCAGCCCTCTTCAGGGGACTGACTGTGCCTTGTGACCTGGGCTGGAGAAAGTTTCAGCAAACGGACTTACATTCCCAGGGTAGCTGCAGCAGAAAGGCACGCTGGCTCTTCAAGGTTTTGTGGTAGATCATGTAGCCTCCACGGTCCCTCTAGCATTCCCAGATATCGACCCTTTAAATAAAATAGACACACCCACAAAACCTGGTTCAACTCACCCCTGAATGTTAGATGAGTTGTTTCTAGAAGAGTTAATGGTTAATTACTACCAGTGGTGTTTTCTGTGACTTCAGCATTAAGAATATTACTTACTGGTCATCTGGTCCATCAGATAATCAAGGTGGAGGGGGCATATAGCTGCTGTAGACAGCTACAGATATGTAGGGAGTAGACCATCAATAGACTAGGCCCTGTCTGAGGTGAGGCAACTTGTTCGCATACCTGGGTGGAAGAGGAAACAAGGAGGTGGGGCTGGGCCCAAAGCGGGACTGTTGTCTCTAAATCCCACCCCTTACCAATTTATTTCCTCTAGCTGGGTTCTGTCCCAAAGGTTCTCCAACCTCCCTAGGCAGCACCACCAGCTGAGGGCCAAGTGTCCAAACACAGGAGCACCGGGAGTTTGTGTGTGTGTGTGTGTGTGTGTGTGTGTTTCACACTCAGACAACAACAACTGGGCTTTTGTGGTGATGGCTATTGTTTAAAAAACCAACAGAACTGGAGCTTGGAGGATTGCTGGCCTATAGCTCAGCCTTCCTTTGTCAGCAGGGTAGGGAGTGAAAGCTTTCTGAGGTGTTTATTGCCTTCCTGTAATTGCAGGAGGGGGAACTCCTTGTTTTTCTGGTTGGAAGCTGAGGAGACCTCTTTCTCTCTCTCCTAGAAGTCTGGTGCCTTGAGCATAGTGAGAGGCTGCTCTGATCTAAGGCTGGCTCCCTACCATCCCTCAGCGAGCCTGATCTGGCAGTTCACATCCAACACTGCGACTGCGCTCGGATCCTCCGCTGTCTTTTGCTAGGATCCACTTCCAGGCTGTAGACATCACATTTGGTCCAGGCTGGGCCCCTGGGATTTCTCAGGGCTTCTTACCCTCCATGGAGCTGGCCTAGGCCCCATTTCTTTCAGGCTGGCTAGTAGCAGCAGCCCCTATTGGCTTTACTCCCAGATCCCCCACACAGCAGTCAGAGGAGCTTCCTTGAACGAACACCTGCTTGTGGGGCGTGTCCCTGCCTGTGGCTGCAGCTGTTGCTCAGTAGTAGGCACTCAGGAATGAAACTATGCCCAGGGCACAGTCTCACAGTCCCCCCCCCCCCCAAAAAAAATCCAGTCCCCAGGTCCACCTGTCTCTAACACTGCCACTAGGCAAAAGGAGCAACCTCTGACTCCCTGCACTGAGGTATCTGATGAGACTCCAACTGGATAGCCCTGCTACCTCCAGACCCTCTCATCTTCCTCTGCAATACCACCCCCACTCCCCTACCCCACCTCCTCTGTCCTCCAGATCCTACATTAAGCCACCTCTGTAGTCTGACTAGTCTTCCTTAGCTGGATCCTCAAGTGCATAGAACCCCCAGGGCCAATCCCATCACACCTGTCGGGGCGGGGGGGACTCCAGGTTGGAACAGCAGTTAGACGGGTAGAAGATAAATGGATGGATGGATGAATGGATGGGTGGATGGATAAATGCATGGATGGATGGGTGGATGGATGGGAGGGTGGATGCATGGATGGATGGATGGGAGGGTGGATGCATGGATGGATGGATGGGTGGGTGAATGCATGGATGGATGGGTGGGTGGGTGAATGCATGTATGGATGGGCGGGTGGGTGGGTGAATGCGTGGATGGATGTGTGAGTGGGTGAATGGATGCATGGATGGATGGGTCTGTTAAGCATGCAGAAGTGTGTCTACAGCATCCCTATATGGACTATAGAACAGAGTCCGGAAAGTGGGAGTGCGAAGAAATTCCAGCCTCATTTAGCTGGGTACTTTCACGTCTGCTGAATCTAATAATAAAAATGTTGAGCTTGTATTTTTCTATGCTGTTGCCTTATTTTCTTCTATTACTTTATTTTTATGACATTTTATGAAAGTGTTGGTCTGCAGTGGATTAGAAATCTTAAAAGCTAGCCCATTAGCCAGATAATTTGAAAAACACTTATACATACCTCCTTATTCGAAGAACAATATCGTGTGTATGTGTGTGTGTGTGTATGTATGTGTGTGTATGTGTGTGTGTATGTGTGTGTGTATGTGTGTGTGTATGTGTGTGTGTATGTGTGTGTGTGTATGTGTGTGTGTGTGTGTGTGTGTATGTGTGTGTGTTACTGTGAAAATACAACAGAACAGGGAGGGCCAGGCAGATAAATGCAGATGAATCTGTGTTTTCAGGGGATGCTTTTCCTGAGGAGACTATCAAAACCAGAAGAAGAAGAAGAAAAGCCAGGCAAACCTTTCTCAGAGTCCAGCAGCCTAGAGTGAAGTCAACAGCTGCTTCGGCAGCCTTCTGACTGCAGAACCCCAGAGGAAGAATAAATTGCAGCTATTAAGATCATCCTATTTGGCCAATGACCCCTACAGCCTTCACACACAGGGGTCCTGCACCATCGCGCCATCCCCAGAGCGTCCCTCTCACCCCCACCAGAGACATGACTTCTAAATCTGTTGCCTAACTTTCCCCAAATCTGGCTTCTATTAGAGAACTATTTCCCAAATTAACCTCCGTGCCCTCTCAAGTGAGGAATGCGAGAGATTTGCACCAGGCCTTTTCTTCTGTTTCCAACAGGCATGTGTGCCTGCAGGAGGCAGAGACTTCCGGGCTGGAAGTGGCAGAGCGGGGGATCATTTCAGCCACTGTTCTTTGAAAGTCTGCACAAAGCCTGTTCTTTTCAGGGCTGGGTTCCAACCCCGGGCTAGACGAGGGCCCAACCTCTGGCACCCCAGCCCTTTGCACAAAGCTTTCTTAACGAAATGCACTCTCTTCTCCCCAGGTGGTCTCTCCAGGTGCTAGCCCGGGGCGATGTTTAATTCATGCTAAGGGCTTTGCCATTAAATCACTTCACAAGTGCTGAGCAAGGGGGAAAATGGCGGCTTGCCGAGCCGTGAGCAGCTGTGATGGGCAAACGGGAGTTCCTGAACTTTATCTGAGTGCGTGAGGAGAGGGCAGACAAGCCGCCCGCAGCCCCTGCAGCCCAGAGTTATGATTCTCCGCACTTGTTCAGATAAAGGTCAAAAAAGGTAGCGATCACACATTCCTGGCCACATTTAGCTCCCCCCCCTCCCGAAATGGTTTTTTGTAGCTATGGGGTTCTTTTTTCAAAGACAGAGCTGAACACATATATTAGTATAAAAGTTCAAGGTCCAAACTGCAACTTCAGAAACCATGGACTACAGTTTCAATTCCAGCATTAGATAACCAGTCCCAGGCAGTGAGATTGGCATCAGAAGCAATCCTG